CCCCCCTTCCCTGCCTACATGGCTTTCCAGCACACTGCTAAACTTAAGACCCCATTATATTGTAAATGTACCTGTGCTAAAGAAATCCAGATTTTGTTCCTACATGTTTTGATTGTCTGCTGAATCCACGTAGCTGTGTATGCTAATAGAAACAGCAAAACAACAATAATGAAGTGCTACTGACTAGTAACTGTCATTAGGATTCCTGTCTAATTAGTTTTTTTAAAGTAAATTGTTACAGTGGCCAAAGAGTTTTGGGTTTTTTGGTTTTTTTGTTTGTTTTTTTTAATAAAACTGGTGGTTATAAAAGTTAGAATATTCATTTTTCAGATGAAGTAGTTCAAGAATAAAAAGTTTATAGTTATAGCAGGACTAGATGTTAGAAAAAGTAATGGTTGCATAAAGACTTTACAAACCTGTAATTAATTTTCTCTTTTGTTCAGAAATCCGTTATAACTCAAGAAATTATTGCCACAGATGGAGGAAACAGATGTAGTAAGGTTGAATTAGTAGTAACAATTACCACTTCAAAAAATCAGCCCCCACAATGGGAAAGAGGAAGTTATGAAGTTGTACTTCCAGAGAATACTACAAGAGATACACCTATTGTGGTATGTAGGACTGTTGCAGTAGACTGTTCGATTGCTGAAAAGTCTTCTTTGGTTAACAAGAATTTTATATGCCCATGAATTGAAATTTCCACTGATTTGCTATCACTTTCCTCTCCAGAACTATTGACCAGACTTTTCTCTCAGCTAAATTTAAATATTCTCATTTGACTTTAGTAGTGTTGGTCAGATATGAAAACAGAATTTAGCATTCTCAAATAAAATGGTCATATTAAAATAATTTCTTGAAAACAGGGACTCTTCCTCATCATTATTTCATTGTTATATTTGTTGTTCTTTTTTAGTTTTCCTATTTAGGAAAATTATTATCTTATTAGGAATATTCTTAGACTTAATAATTAGACCCACTTCCTGGCGAGAAGTGGGCAGCGGTGTCCCGCAGGGATTGGTGCTTGGTTCAGTACTTTTCAACATGTTTACTAACAATTTGGATGTGGGGGTGAAGAGCTCACTGGCCAAGTTTGCAGATGACACCAAGTTATGGGTGAGCGTGGTCACACTTGAAGATAGGCTGCAGTTACAGGCAGACCTAGACAGGCTAGCAGGTTGGGCGGATCGAAATCTGATGAAGTTCAGTGTTGAGAAATGTAAAGTGCTCTACCTCGGGACGAGCAACCCCCACACGCCTACAGGCTTTGTGGCACCAAACTGACTAGAACCACGAATGAAAGGGACCTGGGGGTAGTAATAGACCACAGTATGAATATGAGCCAGCAGTGCGATGCTGTAGCCAGTAGGGCAAATAATACTCTAGCATGCATCAACCAATGCCTCTCCAGCAAAGCCAAGGAGGTGATTCTTCTGCTCTATCCAGTACTGGTGAGACCGCAGCTGGAGTACTGCATCCAGTTCTGGGCACCACACTTCAACCAGGACATGGACAAGCTTGAGAGAGACCAAAGAAGAGCCACCCATTTGATCAGAGTCTTAAAAGGCGAGCCATACGAGGAAAGGCTGAGGGATCTCGGACTCCTCAGTCTGAGAAAAAGAAGGCTGAGAGGAGACCTGGCAGCAGGTTACTGCTACACTAGGGGAGTACATCAAGGGCTCGGTGAGCAACTGTTCACTGAGGGGAAAACCAGGAGTAATGGCCCCAAACTCCAGGAAGATCGATTCAGGCTCAACATTAGGAAAAACATCTTCACAGTCAGGGTGTCCAGACTGTGGAATAAGCTCCCTCCAGGAGTGGTGCAATCACCTACCCCGGAAATCTTCAAGAGGAGACTGGATGGTCACCTTGCTAGGGTCACCTGACCCCAGTTTTCTTTTCTGCTTGGTGCAGGGAGCTGGACCTGATGATCTTCCAAGGTCCCTTCTGGCCTTACAGTCTATGAATCTAACCTACATATTTTTATATTGACAGGCAGCTTCAGTGTGGTTGCACAGAAGCAGTAACTAGTACAGTTCTGCCAAATAATTGTAAAGTATTTAATGTTTTACTGATGACATGATGTGCAAACAAACCTGCTTGCAGTCTAATAATCGTTGACTGAAATTGACCTGACTGGGTATATAGAGATGCTTTGAAAAATATTTAATTTTGTTCAAATTAAAATGTTGGGGCATAGTTTGTACACAAATAATATATAAAAAATATTTCTGAATCTACAAAACTACCAGTTGTGTAAACATTGTATTTTCAATTGCACAGACAATTAAAGCAACCTCTCCCCTTGGTGATCCCCGTGTGACGTACAATCTGGAAGAGGGACTTGTTCCAGAGACCAACATGCCAGTTCGTTTCTACCTGACTCCGAATAGAGATGATGGGTCAGCTTCAATACTGGTAGCTGAGCCATTAGATTATGAAACAACAAAGAACTTTTTACTGAGGGTTCGGGCACAGAACGTTGCTGCAGTTCCTCTGGCAGCATTCACCACTGTCTATGTCAATGTAACAGGTATATAATATGTTAACAGCAACACTGTAATACACGAATTAAAAGACCATCTAAAAATGTTACAGTTCTCAAGTAAGTTTAATTATATGTTATGAGCTCTACCTTTTGAATATTTTAGATGTCAATGACAATGTGCCTTTCTTCACTTCATCAATTTACGAGGCCTCTGTAACAGAGGGAGCTGATATTGGGACATCTGTTCTTCAAGTCTCTGCCACTGATCTAGACCTTGGTCGGAATGGGGAGGTAAGCACGAAGTTAGACTCTAGATGACACACAATACCTCTCAGAGTTCATCTATACAGCATTTCTAACGTGTCCCAGGAAAGATGCCCCTGAATGCATCCATCCAACCTGCTCCCACTATCACATGTCAAACCTTGAAACGTGGCAGTGACGCTGCCTTGGGGTGTCCTTCTGTGGTGGCTTTCAAGCCCTTGGTCTCCAGCATGCATGAAAACAGCTACAGGAGAAACCCCAGTGGAGCTTCAACACTCTCATTTTGGACTGGGTGCATATGACCTGGAGCTGGTGGGTGGGACATGCTTTAGCCATGCTTTTTTTTTCTGATTAGGCAATTATAGAAAGGTATTGATGGCCAAGGGTTTCAAAAACCTGCTTAAATTTTATGCTTCAGTGTGGGATTCTTTAAAGAGTTCTGACTTTTCCAAATCTGCCAAACAGTCACCCTTTAAATATCAGATCCTTTTCATCTGTCTCAAGATGAACATCCAAGTTTTGACTATTTCTGTCATGGCAGGAAGAGGGTGAAGTCAGGAGTAACCACACATACATGTACTGGAGATCAGTACACTTACAGGCCTGTAATTTTTAACATATTCTTAAGAGTGGGGCTCTGTTGTATAAGTACTGTATGAACATGTAGTAAGAAACTGTCCCTGCCTCAAAGAACCTACAAGATATAAATGGACAAGACAGGGAAACAGTAGGAGAAAAGTAGTAGTATGGTTATTTTATTTATTTTTTTTACTGGATAAGAAATCAAGAGACAAGGAAATTAAGTGATTTGCCCAGTCATGCAGGGAGCCTGCAGTAGAACTAGGAATTGGGCCAAATCTCTGGAGTCTGAGTCCAGCACCTTAGCCACAGGATCGTTCTTTTCTTTCATGGCTGTTTGCTTGCGAAAGGATGGAGTAACCCTCTTCTATTTAATCCTTCAGATCAGTTACTTTCTGTTACACGACCGTAGTGGGGACTATACTTGTTTTCGTTTGGACTCACAGACGGGCTCAATATATACTACTTCAGTATTTGACAGAGAGAAGAAGGGCTCATATCTTTTAGAAATAAAATCTGTAGATGGCTCTGAATCAGCTCGACCTGGAAAACATGGGCAACCAAACTCTGGTAAGAAATAAGCTGAAGTATCAGTGTGGTACATTTGTCTAAAAAAGTTATGTTTGTCTAAAAAAGAAACTGATTTAGCCCCCAGTGTTGTTTTTAAATTCATTTTTATCTAAGGTCATTTGTAAAAGATGTGTTTTATTTTTTTTTTAACTGCTTTCTCACAGCTGAAAGAAATATTTCATATCTTGTGTGAAGAACAGGTAATTTTTCAATTCTAAAACCTAAAAGAAAATTGCAACTTTTTTGATATAGCTGCCAGATCTTAGAGGAATCCTAACTAGCACAACCACACCCACTACTTTTTAACACAGGATGCAAACCTAATTTGGGCAGAGGAACTTTTCAAATCGCTGCATACTGTACTGTCCTCGGTCAGGGTGATAAGGAAGAACCGACCAGAAAATGTTAAGACTTCTTTAAGAAATTACATTATGAATTGACTTGGTTGAGGTTAAACAGAGAGTTAAAGTTGGACTTTCGTGGCTTCAGGACAAAAAGTTATGACTTAAAATTGTACAATTGCCATATTAGGCATCAATTATTCACATGTTATCTGTTTAAGTAAATTGGATATGACATTCATTTGATATCCAAGTGCTTTTGAGTAATGTTGGTATATAAATTGTCCACAACCCTAAGGGTTTGTTTCTGTATTGTCTGCATATTCTTCTTCATCTAATGTGCAGCTAGACAGTTTAAGGAATTGTAGCTGACAGAAGTGGCACAGCTGAGTATTTTAATCTCTTGTTTCTTGTCTCTCCAGACACAGCCTACGTGCGCATTTTTATCAGCGATGTGAATGATAACAAGCCTGTCTTCACTCAGAGTGTCTATGAAGTTAATGTAGATGAAGACCAAGATGTGGGCTCTACTGTCATTATAGTCAGTGCTAATGATGAAGATGAAGGTAGAGTATTGGAATTCCCTATAGCTGCATCTAAAATATTAATGAGTTAATTTCAGCACACTAAGACATATTTAGTGGTGTTAGGAAGGAAAATGTCTTTATGTCTCTGCATTTTTAAACTTCTTTATGTCTGAACTGACAGAGCATGAATGTTACTTCATAACTGGGCTGAGGCATAAACCAAATAACTAAGTTAGGTAATGCATTAGCACAGGATGATGGTGAATAACTTTTCTGCCAGCAGATACAAATTTGTTAAAGACTTATAGATCATTTCTTCTGTTAAAAAATGTGGTGGTAAAAATGTTCTAGTTAACTAAAATGAATCAGAGTTTGTCTAGAAAAGATTAACTTACTCTTTTGGTTCTAACAGCAAAGTTGTATGGTTCCTTTTTTGGTACACTGAGGTATAGTATTGTCACATGAAATGGTTTGGAGACAAAGCAGCATAGGAATTGGTTGTCATAAACAACAACAATTGTTTAAGATCCTAAGGGAAGAAAGGAAGGAGAGCAACAGAATGAAGATAATGGACTTCAGAAAAGCATACTTTAAAAAATCAGGGAACTGGTGGGCAGAATCCCCTGGGATTAGAGGGGAAAAGATGTCCAAAAGAGGTGGCTGCATTTTAAGGAGGCCCTTTTAAGGGTGCAGGTGAAAGCTACCCAGATGCTACAGAAGAATAGGAAGTACAACAGAAGACTAGCCTGCCTAGATAGCCAGTCAATGAGAGAGATTTTGAATCCAGTGCCTGTGGCACCTGTTCTGGTTGGTCTGGGACTGCGCCTCACCTAGTGCCTGCTTTGGCCCACTCAGTCCCTTGTCCAGGGCATGAGCTGCACACAGTGCCCACTTCAGCTGGTTTGGGATGTGCACTGTGTGGGTCCTTGAGTGGCTGCTGCATGTGGTGCAGTCCTGGACCAGCCAGAGTGGGTGCTGGATCTAGTATATGCACATCCGTGGAGGAGCAGGAATGCATGGGCCCTGTCTGGCTCAAGGGGCCAGTCCCGCACCATTCATTTGGCCTGTGGACTGGTCCTGAGCTGCTCATCTGGCCCACAGCACTGAATATGAGCCAACAGTGTGCCTTTGTTGCCAAGAAGGCTAGTGGCGTACTGGGCTGCATTGGTAGGTGTGTTGCCAGTAGGTTCAGGGAAGTGATTCTTCCCCCCTATTCAGCACTGGTGAAGCCACATCTGGAGTACTGTGTTCAATTTTGGGTCCCCCACTACAGAAAGGATGTGGACAAATTGGAGAGAGTCTAGCATAGGGTGACAAAAATGGTGAGGGGGTTGGCGGACATGACTTACGAGGAAAGACTGAGGAAACTTGGCTTATGTAGCCTAGAGAAGAGAATGAGGAGGGATTTAATAGCAGCCTTCAACTACCTGAAGGTTGGTTTGAAAGAGGATGGAGCTAGACCAGGGGTGGGCAAAATACAGCCTGCGGGCCACATCCAGTCCACCAGGCCATTCTATCCAGCCTGTGAGGCCCCCTAAACAATTTAGGAAATGAATTATTATCTGCCTCTGGCTGCCTGACAAAGATGACAAGGCACCAGTAGTAGTAGGACTCAGGGGGAGCCAGTGGCAGGACGTCTCCCTGCTGGCGCAACCTGGCCTGGCCCTGGCCCTGGGCCCCACGCTCCCACCCAGCTGTTGTTGTGCTTCTGTGCATCTGCTTGCCGCCGCTCACCCCCCTACATGTAGCTGCCATTTCCCTGCTTTTGTGCCTGCCGCCCCTGCTTCTCCCACCCCCACCAGCTGATCCAGCAGCACGTGGTTCCTGACTGCATCGCCAGACTGCAGGACTCAGCAGGCGCTGGCCAAGCCCCCGCGATTCTTGGCTGGCTCTGAGAGAGAGTGCGTGTGCATGTGCATCTGTGTGCATGTGCATCTTTGTGTGTGTGTAGGGTAAGTCCCACACCCTCCCCCCACCATATGCATGCATGCCCCCCCCACCACGCTGCCATGCACACCCACACCCCCTCACACACCCCGCTTCTGGCCTAGACTGTTCTCAGTGACAGCAGATGACAGAACAAGGAGCAACAGTCTTTAAGTTGCAGCAAGGGAAGTTTAGGTTAGATATTATGAAGAATTTTCTCACTGGGAGGGTAGTAAAACACTGGAACAGGTTACTCAGAGAGGTGGTGGAAGCTCCATCCTTGGGGGTTTTTAAGACCTGGCTAGACAAAGCTTTGGCTGAGATGATCTAGTTGGGCCTCGTCCTGCTTTGAGCAGGGAGTTGGACTAGATGACCTCGTGAGGTCCCTTCCAACCCTCATTGATTCTATGAGTTTGACACCCCTGAGCTATTCTGTATATAGACTACCATATAATACTTGCATACTAAAAATACAATAGTAAGGTAGGAATTTAAACATATGGGCAGATCAAAATTTGAAATAGAAATAATTTGTTATAGTTACAGTTTTCCCTTGCTTTATGCTGTGCATGCATTCTTGGAACATGATGCATAACTGGAATCCGTAAAAAGGGAACCCACTTTACAATGTAACAACTAGGGATACATTCCAAGACCTCGACTGTACTGAGCCCCAGACCCATTTCTACCACTTTTACAAGGCAATTTTGGTACTCAGCAGCAGACAGTACACGCAAGAACAGGGCACTATCATAATGGCAATGGCAGCTACAGAAACACGTGTTGCAGACAATGAGCAAGGAGCACAGATCCACACAGGAGACTATATTTTGGTGTGTGTCACACCCACAGTACACCTCACAAAGCAGCTGACTGTGGGCTCCCACCACACCGATCGCATAAGAATGAATTTACCTCGCATATAACGAATTTTTGGTATAAAAAGGGTCACCGTGTAAAAGCAAATTTGCACATACAGAACCCACATAAAACGAGGGGAAATCTGTATTAATATTACTTATTAATGATCAAACCTTCAGATAGAAGTGCTGCAAAATAATTGCATATTTTGGTGCGCTTTAAATGAAACTCTGTTTGTGGATTTACAGGAACAAATGCTAAACTAAGGTACCAGATCACAGCTGGAAATATTGGTGGCGTACTTGATGTTGAACCAGAAACAGGAGCCATCTTTATTGCTCAACCACTGGATTATGAAGAAGCTGAAATGTATGAACTACATTTATTGGCCTCTGACGGTAAATGGGAGGATTATGCAATTATCATCATCAATGTAGTGAATAAAAATGATGAGGCCCCAGTTTTCTCTAACAGTGAATACTATGGAAGTATTATTGAAGAACTGGATGGGTTACCAGTCTTTGTACTTCAGGTATTTTATGAACTTCCTTTACTGATATTTTCATAGAGCAACATATTTCTAGCATTATTATTCTAATTGGTTAATTTAAATTTAAATGTTAAATTTAGCTCTTTAAAGAAAGTGTGTTGTAGGTAGATACACATGCAGTTTTATAAAGAAAACAATTATGGTATGGTATATAATATTATCATAAAAAAGTGATAGACTATTATTCCACAGTTCAATTATTTCAATAATCATATGAACGCACAAAATAGATTGCTATAGTGTGAAGTAGCAATATCTATTTTCTACCACCTATCATCAGTCTATTAGGAGCGTATGCTGTACTTTCATTGGCATCTCTTTCAGGACGTAGTAGCAAATGGGATATAATTCAGAAATACGTATTGTATCATTAAACTGTTGCATCCCCTTCATAGGTTGCAGCAAATGATCCTGACAGCAGTGTGGATGGAGGAGATTTGAGGTATTCCTTGCATGGACATGGGGCAGCTGAGGTCTTCGCCATAGATGAAAACACGGGCAGCATTTACTCTCAGAAGATTCTGGACCGAGAAGAGCGAGCACTATGGAGATTTGTTGTGTTGGCAACTGATGAGGGAGGAGAAGGACTTACTGGATTTGCTGATGTAATTATTAATGTATGGGATATAAATGATAATGCCCCCATATTCGTGTGCATGCCTAATGATTGCAATGGGAGTGTCTTTGAAAATTCTCCTGCGAACACGTTGGTCATGGAAATGACAGCCATAGATTTAGATGACCCAAATGTTGGTCTTAATGCAGTTTTGACTTACAGGATAATTGAGAATGCAAAAAATGGGTTTGACATTGATATGTTTAATATCAACCCCAGTACTGGTACAGTCCATGTGGCAGAGGGGATGCTAGACAGAGAGAGGACTGAAAAATACCTTCTTATTGTAGAAGCAAGAGATGGGGAAGGGTTGACAGGAACTGGTACTGCCACCGTATGGGTTGCAGATGTCAATGATCATATACCTAAATTCACTCAAGAGGTCTGGCAGGTGGTGATTCCTGAAAACAGTGCGGTCAACTCAGAAGTTATGGAATTATCTGCTGTAGATGCAGACACTGGGGAAAATGCTCACTTAACATTCAGCATCATTGCGGGAGATCCAGATCAGAAGTTTTACATTGAAAATGCTAAAGAAGATCAGCGCGCAGCTATCCGTTTGAAGAAGCACTTGGATTATGAGAAACCTCACGAAAGGTGGTTTAACCTCACTATTAAAGTGGAAGATCTTGATTTTTCCAGCATCGCAACTTGCCTAATTGAGGTTGAAGACTGTAATGATCACAGTCCAGTATTCGGTTCTCAGTTTGTTCATACAAGCCCTTTCTTTGAAAACATACCTGTAGGTACTCCAGTCACTGTGGTGAAAGCCACAGATGAGGATTCTGGTGTGAATGGGAATATTATATATTCTATTAGATCAGATTCAGATCCTTTGAGTCAATTTGCAGTTGATCAACAGGGTTATGTGACTGTGGCAAATGCACTGGACCGTGAAGTTATTCAGCAATACCATTTAATTATACAGGCTTCAGATCAAGGGATTCCTGCCCAAACTGGAAGTGTTACAATCCTGATTAACTTGCTTGATATTAATGACAATGGGCCATGTTTTGAAGCACCCTACATGCCTGTGGTTTGGGAAAATATGTTGGGGCCTCAGGTAGTATATATGAACCATACCTCAAAGCTTCTTCATGCTTTTGATCCAGACAGTGATGAAAATGGACCACCTTTTACTTTTTCACTGCCACTAAGTTATCAGAATTCTTTGGATTTTTCACTTACTGACAACAGAAATAACACAGCCACCATCAAGGCTCTGAGGTCTTTTGACAGAGAAAAGCAGAAAGTATTTCATCTGCCAGTAATTATAGCGGATAGTGGGACTCCATCTATGAGTGCTACAAACACACTGACCATAACAGTTGGTGATGAGAACGACAACAGCCATGCAGCAGGCCATAAGGAAGTCTTTGTCTACACACATAGAGGTAGGTGCTGTTCAGATATGCAGCCAGATGGGTGGAGAATGTAAAATTTGGCTTGCTATTAATTTAGTTTCTTTGTTTTGAATATTTTGTGTTTTGCACAGTTATCAGTTACTAAGGCCCTAAATCTACAGATAAACAAAATGATTTGGTGGGTTGAATGTATGGGCCAAAGTGTGAAAAGCATCATTTTCTGTGAAGGAACAATTGGCATCTACAACCAATACAAATCTTATGTTTTTAATGTGTATGCTTTTTACCTGCTTAAAAGCTATAAAATTATATATAACAACTTTTTTTTAATGCTCAGGATTCTCAGAAATGATTTATTTTTATTTAAGTTTTCAGCAAAAGATTCTCCTGGGACTGGATCAGGAGTGGAAATAAAGGAAAGTTGGAATAAAAACATTAGGCAATGTTAATCTTAAACTTTACTATAGCTTTTACTATGTATTTCAGCAATTACATTGTATTTTTTCTACTGAATAACACTTGTTTGTTTGCTGTTTTCTGATAGCATATGAAATTAGAGGAGGGTGTGTAGTGATTTCTTCAGTCCAGTCCAAGAAAACCTGGCTCAGGTCAAACTGAAAAGAATTATGTCAGTTAAAAGCAAATCATTTTGCCTTTGAATGAATTATTTCATTTCCCCCAATATTTTCACCCAAACGTGAAAATGTGCTTAATTTGACCTTAATTTTACAAACAGGTTTGATGTCCCCTAAATCTGCAAGTTTACTATTCACCAAAAATGTTTTGCCTAGTTCTGTTTGAAATGAGGGTGAAAAGCAGCTGAAAGTTAAGTAGGGCTTGCCTGGATAAACTCTGACTCCAGACCTGAATTTAAAGAAGTTTGTATATTTTTCGCCATACGGTGGCTGTGGACAATTTGTGCAGAATAAGTTGTACAAACAACATTAAAGCTAATGTACAGCCTCATCCTGGTGCTGTTCTCTGTTAGCTCTTCTTCCTCTCTGCTAGAGCAGCCAGTCGGCTGTCTTGTTACTTTAGCCACAGGGAACCAAAAATAGATGCAAGAAATGATGCAGTAAGAGGCGTTATTGTCCATGCCCTTTCCTCTGAAATCATACGCTTGGACTCTTGTTCAGAGAAGGTGCAGTATAAGAGTTGCTATGATGGTGCTGTACCATGAGAAACTCCTCCTTGTACTGGGTTGCTTTGTACTGGTTTAAGTCTAGATTACACTAGTGCAGTGATTCTCAACCAGTATGCCATGAAGTCCTTTGAAGGTACTATAGGAAGTGTAAGGAGATAAGCAGATACAGGCAGATAAAGGCAGGCTCAGGCTTTGGGTGTGAGGTGGGGTTGAAGCTGTCCCTGTTCAGCTGCCCTGTCCCTACTGCCTGCCACCTCTGTAAGGAGGAAACTCCTGTAAAAAATGAATTTTGTTTTTGAAATGGAGTGCTTTTCAGTTCACAAAAGTTATGGAAGGGTGCTTTGAATCTGATGAGTGGTGTCTTGAGTCTAAAATTGTTGGGAACCTCTGCACTAGTGATACAGTATGAAATAGCTGCCTCCTATTAGAATTTCTGAATCTTTAGATTCTGGTTTAGCCCATTTTTGGGTCTGAAAATCAGTTCATAAGTGTATTCTTCTTCTTTTCTTGTTGCTTTTTGTGCAATATTTCTGGTCTTTGCCTAGCTTTCACATATGTTTGTAGGAGAAATCAGACTACAGGCAGTACACTATTTCAAGAGGCTTGGTTCATAACCTTCACCAGAATCTAACAGGAATATGAAAATGATAAATGTAGTAATGAATGCAGTGGAATTTAAAACCCTTTGAAAAACAAAAATTAAATGCAGATTTATTATAATTTATCTCAACAGGAAAATGGTCAACAACAGAGCTTGGGGAAGTGTTTGCACCAGATCAGGATGACTGGGACAATAAAACATTTCTCTCTGAAGGAAAAATGCTCAAGTGAGGACTGTATTTGTGTCAAACTGAGTAATATTTAATGTTTATGCTTCTGTAATTATTTTACTCACCATGCGATTTCTCTATGTTATCTGCATAAAGCCAGGATTATCACACATAACGAGCAATGTGCTGCCTGAATATGCTTTTTCATTTTAACTTGGGTAACTAGATTAGAAGGAATTTATGTATTCAGTATTTTTCCTCATCCCAAATAATATAGGGCCACACAATGCTATTGATTTTTAAGCAGAGCTTCCCATCAGTTTTCTGTGTATTTAAAGATGTGTTCAATTTTAGAAAAAATACTAAAATAAGGTCCATTTTTGAGAGCCTGCCTCCACTTATTATAGTCACATTCTATTTGGGCACACATGGGAAAGAGAAAAATAATGCAGCCAATCATAAGTGAAAGTGATTGTGCTGCTCTTCCAGAGCAAAATTCACCACTTCATTAGCAGACATGGCTCTGTTCAACTCGGGTTATGTGTACAGTGAATACTGGCAGTATATTATGGTACAGTGTATAGAGTAGTGTAGAGAGAACGTATTGGTTATAGAGCACCTTCATAACCACAGAATACTACCGCCTTCATCATGTTTCACGGGCATGTCACAGTAGTTCCCATTTGAAGCTTCTCTGCAGTACACACCAATGGGGCCAGTTAGGTTCAGTGTGGTGTTTGCTCTAGTACATTTCTGAGGTTGATTTTTAATTCCAAATGGATCAGTTGACAACAGAGCCTGCATAGCAGCCTTCTAGGGCTTGTGCAGCATGTATACTGAAAAAGACCTACTTCAGAGAGTACATGCAAAATGTTTCTAATATGATTCATTAGGGTTTTTTTTCTTGATTCTTCTGGGGTTTACTTCTAGGTCTTTCAGGTTAAATCAAAAGACTGGCTCTCTGGTAATGGTGGATAATGCTCCTCAGGGGACATATGACTTCAAAGTCAGAGTTTCAGATGGAGTCTGGCCTGATGTTGTATCTACAATACAGATCCATGTCAAAGAGTTGGAAAATGAAGCCATATACAATTCAGCCACTGTACGTCTGGCAGGTCAGTTTGCTTTTCAGGAAGAGGTTGACTGGCGCTATATTTGGGTATTAATGTAGGACAGATACACCTGCAGTTCTACCTGGTAGGTGAGTTGAGAGAGTAACCAGTGTCTTTAGGTGTTTCATTTTGGTATATTTATGAATCCCAAGTGCAGATGTCACAGCAGAGGAGTTTATAAAGAGAGATGAGCATGGGAAGAATAAACATGACCAGTTTCAGGAGCTACTGGCAGAAATCTTCTCAGCTCAACCTAGTGATATCAATATCTTCAGTGTGATGAACATTGACAGGCGACACACAGACTTGAGATTTGCAGTTCGTGGCAGCTCTTCATATTACAGACCAGAGAAATTGCATGGTGATATTGCAGCATTTAAAAACAAGGTATGTGCTCCAGGTTTACTTCAGCAAACTTAACATTATGGTGTTTTTTGCAGATATACAATGAATATCCAAGGGTCATTTACAGTGACACAACCATACTATGGAGGAGCATGCCAGGTCTACTGATTTACTTTTTGCTCAAGTGAAAACCTATTATACAAAATTTTGTCCTTTTTTATTTGAATTTGCTTTCTTTCCTGTGCACCTTTTTACATAATATTTCATTTTAATAGGTATTCTACTTTTGAGTTGCAAGAAGGCAATCCTTGCTTTCAGATCTTATCATTTTAGTTGGCATTAGTTGCCTCTATCCTTATGAAATGTATTATTATTAAGTATAATTATCACAGGAGTGCCTGAGGCCAACTGAGGTAGGTTAGATGCTATAGAAGCATTTACCTTATTGACTTGAATCTAAGACGACCCCCCACTAATTAAATTCTCTACAGGGAAAATGTATACATTTATTATAATTTTCCTTGTATAGAATTTAATTATTGGATGATTGTCTTAAATTTACGCCCTCCCTCCCCCACTACTGCAGGCCGTAATGGGGTAGGCAGTAAGGAGGCAGGTGTAGGAGGGAGCAGTGGTGGACAGGCAGTAGAGGGGCAGGTGATAGGGGGCAGGCAGTGTGGAGACAGTGGGGCAGGCATGCAATTTGTCCTTTGCCGCCTGTGTTCCCCCTTACCCCCCACAGCTTCAGGCCCCCAAAGTCTCTACCCCTCACCTGCCCTTCCACCCACATCCCCCCATACCTCTGCTATGGTGCTGGTAGGCTCCATCCCTGCTGCAGCCCAGAGTGCTGAGCATGGCACCAGCCAAGCCTTGTAGCGGTGGGGAGGTGCCAACACTGCTGCTACAGGACTGGGCTGGGGCTGTGCTCCATGCTTTCTGCTCCAGGTTGCAGCAACTACCTTATTTACTCAAATCCATGACAAGGTGGTCCCCTCATTTAATGTGCAGGGTGGGGAAAATGTCTCTGTGGATTTGAATTCATGCAGAGGGTTGGGGGAGCAGATGACCACTGCAGCTCCAACTGGCCCTGACTTGGTCAAAGCTACAGCCTCTGCCTACCCACCATTGCTACTTGTTTTCTGGCTCCAGGTTTGGCCTTGCTCCAGCCTGGCACATGGAGTACATGGTTGCTTTGGCCCCAGCCCAGCCATGCAGCAACCTTAGCTGGAGCCAAAGCTGCTGCCACCATAACCAGTGCTGTACAGCTGCATTGTGGCTGGAGCTACCATGTGCTCTGTAGCCTAGGCTGGAGTAGGGCTAAAGCTGGAGTCAGAGGGTAATCAGCAGTGAGGAAGCAGAGGCTGCAGGGGGAAGAAGGGGTAGTGGGTGTGGGGGAGCAGAGGCAGTGGTGGGCAGGAGGAGGAAGGGGGACAGGCCCTGGAGTGGAGACCAGTGAAGTGGGCCATGTGTGTGTCGTGGGGGAAGATGCCAGGGGCGTGGGTGCTGGGGCACTCTGACACCAGGAGAGGAGATAAATGGGGGGAAGTGGCAGGGGGGGAGGAAGCAGGTGCAGGGGGGAAAGGGTCAGGGGTCAGGCATTTGATTCCCATGCTGGCTGTCCCCCTACAGCCTGCCTGCCACTCTGCAGTGTGTGTGTATGTGGGGTGGGGGATAAAACTTAACACCATCCTCCAATCATTAGATGTTATACATGAAAAATTTATGGAAAACATACATTTTTCCTGTATAGAGTCCAAATATTAGGGCATCATTTTAAAGTCAGAGTTGCTTTGGATTCAGGTAAATACAGTAATAAACCATGCTAGAAAAAGCTTGTGGCCTGAAAGACAAGATATATCAGGATGGATAAAATAGCTAGGGTGGGAGAAAAGGTGGGCATAACTTTTCTGAAAATACAGGATCATAGGAACGTAGGGCTAGATGGGAAGGTCAAGTCTAGTCCTCTATTTGAGGCAGAATTATCCCTGACCAAACCATCCAAGAGCAGATTGAAGATTTCAGGGCTGGAGGTTCCACAATTTCTCTAGGTAGTTTGTTCCAATGCTTGACTACCTTCATAGCCAGAAATTTCTTCCTAATCTCCACCTAAACTTCTGCTGCAGTTTGAGGCCATTGCTCCTAATCCTGTCCCTACAAAGCTCATCTCCATCCCTTTTATAATTTCCTTTTAGGCATTTGAAGACTGTTATCAAATCCCCGTTCGGTCTTCTCTTCCCCAAGTGGGTTTTCAGCCATTCCTCATTACGTCTTGCTTCCCAGGCCTCTAATCAATCACTTTTATCACTCTGGGCTCTTTCTGATCTGTTCACATCTTTCTTGAAGTGAGGGACCCAAAACTGAACACAGTTTTCCAGGTGAGGCCTCATCTGTATTGAATGGAGTGGAAGTCATTTCCCTTGATTTGTGAGTGACACTTGTATTGATACTGCCCTATGTGGTCTCACCTTTTTTGCAACAAGAGCACACTGTTGGCTCATTCAGCATCTTTCTTTGCAGTACAGCAGACTAGCTACTCATTCCAGTCTGTATTTGTGCATACACTTATTCCATTCCAAGTGCCAGACTATGCACTTGTTCTTGTTGAATCTCATCTTCATAGTTTCATAGTTGGTAGGGTTGGAAGGAACCTGAGCAGGTCATCGAGTCCGACCCCCTGCCATGGCAGGAAAGAGTACTGGGGTCAAACGACTCCAACAAGGTGTACATCTAGCCTCCTCTTAAAGACCCCCAGGGTAGGAGCCAGCACCACTTCTCTTGGAAGTTGGTTCCAGATCCTAGCCGCCCTGACCGTGACATAGCGCCTCCTGATATCTAACCTAAACCTACCCTCTGCTAGCTTGTGACTGTTATTCCTGGTCACTCCTGGCAGTGCTCGGGGGAACAGGGACTTCCCCAGTGCCTGCTGGTCCCCTCTAACTAGTTTGTAACAGGCCACTAGATCCCCCCTCAGCCTTCTCTTGTGGAGGCTGAACAGGTTTAGGTCCCGTAGCCTCTCCTTGTAGGGCCTGCCCTGCTGCCCCCTGATCATGTGAGTCTGCATGAATCTGATTGATTGCAGACCATTTCTCCAGTTTATCTAGGTCATTCTGAATCTTGATGGGTTGTGTACAATTCTTAGCCAATCAGAACCAGAAGTCACAGCTTGTTCCTTGCCTACCCATTATCAGACTGCAAAATACATATGGTATCTTTTTTTATTTGTCCATTAGACAGTCACATGGGTTTTTAGAATACTCAGTGGCCAAAGTTATAATACCAGAGGGGCAGAAACTGTTTTTGCAAAATTGCAACGTCCTTTTGCTTATGTATGAAGCTATTTTGATAACAATGTAGAAAGTTGCAGAAATATCAAATAGACTGCTCCATATTGCACAGCAGTGTGATCCATCGAAGTGAGAACAAATGGACCCTTTTTGGGTTACATCTTATAATTAAGAAATAGTATTCTATTAATTTTCTCTCCCACCTTCCAAAATTAGTGACAGGTCTTGTTAGTAATCATGACTTTCTTTACTTATAGAATGTAAAACATGAGTAGAAAATGCCTCTCTCATTTTGTGTGCAAGAGTTTCCGTTAACTACCCATACAGAACATTGATAGAAACTCTGAAATTATTATTAATTTAAAATTTTAATAAAGAAATGGTTATTTGTTAGTCCCCTTTGGATAGGACTTTATCATAACTGTTTTTAGCAAGCAACAAAAATCAGCCATCCCAATAATGCAAAGGAACCAAGATTGTTTATATGTCCCATCTTTTTCTGCAAGACTACTACAAAGCTGTCTAAATCTGTAGTACAGAATCCTCACTAGTGGTTGATAGATGTTGACAGCATGGCCCACAACTGCATTGACAGGATGCATCCTGTCACTGTGTAGTATAATTCTTGCTCTTGGGGATCTCTTTTTCAATACATGCCACTATATTTAGAAACATATCAAATAGGTGGTTATAAAGGCCAAAGGTCTTAATGGAATGGTGGATTGGAGTGAAGGCAATAGCGAAATGAAAAGAGAATGCTGTTTTTGTTTTTGACTTCTAGGGTTTATTTTACTTTTTTTCTCATAGATTTTATAACTCAAAATAACAGCTTATTAAATACACACAGTTGCTTGGATCCAAGTCTAGTTTTGTCTTAGTTTTATCCCTGTTTTATGCTGCTGTTAAAGCAGACTGAGGCCCTTAATATCATATGGTGATGGTTTAGTTCTAAGAAATATTGCTACGCTTAATGTTTTCAAACCCTGAATAGATAATATAATTTCCTTTATTTGATAAGTCATTTCAGCTGCTTATGAAATCTAGGCTGTTAGACAATTTTCAAGAACAATTTTCAAGAAATTAAAGTATTCCATAAAGTATTAAAATTAATGGATTCCATAAAGTTTATGATTGCATAATTTTTTCAGAAACAAAGGAATAAATGAAAACAGTCCAGTAGGACCAGGCAATGATTTATTAACTGCATTTTCCTTAGATTCAATCGGCTTTAAAAGTGAACGTTTCACAGATCAATATAGATGAATGCAGGAAGACAGACTGCAGTGGGAGCAATGGTTGTACAAACTACTTCATCGTGAGTGACACCCCAACTGTCGTGGATGCTGGAAGTGTGTCATTTGTCTCTGTAACAGCCAACATCAGCACAGTTTGTACCTGTTCAGCTAGAGACCAACTTCATCAGTCCTGTGCTTCCTACCCCCAGAGCCCATGTCTCAATGGTGGGACATGTATTGACACACTGAATGGGTACAGGTGAGAACATTTGTATTACAGTTTTTCGTACTTTATTTTTCTTTTTTAAATGTGAAATGGGGTTGTGACCGCTGGGTTTCGAATAGCCACTCTTGGGCAGCTTTCACTCTGGTGGTAGACGTCAAGCTCCTTACGGACTTGCGTTGTTGCCTGAGTAGATGTCTTCCTCCCAAGTCTCCAACCCCGTACTCGCCTGCCACAACTTGTTGTTCCTCAGTGTGTGGGGTTGTTCGCTGAGTAAGCTCGGTGGCCCATAGTTCACCTGGCGGTCACTCATGGGGCTCCATCACCCCTACACCCTGGCCCTACGCCTCCTTCAGTGGTGCATTCGTCTGTCAGCTTTTTCCCCCCTTACGGGGTAATACCTTCCGATGTAATGTTTGGGCGTCCGTAGCCTATTGCCACGCTCACCCGTATGGGCCTGCCCCTAGGCCCCCTTCGCCTTCGCCCCTCCTTCAGGGAATGTACCGAAAGAAAGGAACAGTAAACCCTCCGAGACTTCCCTACAGCCTTGCTCCTCGGGGAATCCGCACCCTTCCCCTATGTCCATTCATCCAGGGTAACTAAATACTCAACAAAAAAATACAGGGCAACCCAACACTCCCTGTTCCCTTTCTATCATTCTCTGGACTCTAACTGTGTGGGTTACTGTCTTCCTGGCTCGTTGCCTTCGGTATTCCCTCTTGTCAGCTCATCAATCCAGTTGGGGTCCGGCGGCGATACCTGCCCCGACTGCAAACCCTCTCCGGCTCGCCTGGGGTCTTCTTCCCCCTGACGTGGCTTCCTTCATGCCCTGTCATCCCCGCAGTCCCACCTGGGGTCATCTGTATCTCCTGGTGCCGCTCCAGCGATGCTTCTGGCCAGCGTGCCTGTTGCTCCTCTGCTGTCCTGTGAGGGCTCCTGCCGGGGTGCTCCTCCCAGTCCCATCAACATCTGTCCCTGCTTGCCTGGCTCCATGGGTCCCATGGGGAGAGTCCCTTCTGTTGCTGGTGACGGCTGCAGCTCCTTCCCTGTGCCATCCACCCCCTCCGCGGCATCGGCCGCCATTTTTATCCCTGCCAGCTGGCATCTGATGCTGATGTCACCGGCCGGCCGTAATTGAATAAAAAGGCGGCTGATGAGCCGCACGGGCTCTTCTTTCCGCCCCTCACATACCGTGCCCCGAGCTGCTGGTAAGTATCTCCCATTACTTTGTCTCCTGGGACAGGGGTTAACAAGGTACAGGCCTAGAAAAAGAAAGCCTTTAGCTCCAGTGTATTCCTGCAGCTGGATGTGCTGGTTAGCTGGCCAGTGCTTCCCAGCCTTGGGAGCACAACAGAGTCTTGAAGGGCTCTGATGCACTCCTGCACCTAGAGCACTTAATAGCTGACTGATGCTCCCAGTCATGGGGACACGCCAGAGCCTTGAAGGGCTCCAATATACTCCCATGGCTGGGAGTGCCAATCAGCTGATCAGTGCTGGCCCCGTGTTCAAGTTAAGGTGCAATGGGAACCAGTCACAAAGTTATAATTATTTATATAATAACTTTGTGGTTTTATTCCCTGTTTTACCATGCTGTTAATTGAATGAATGTGCAGCTGGGATACTATTTAAGACATGATTAACTGGTTAATCATGTCTTAAGCTTAGTGTCTGTCAGGGGCCTCAGTGTAAAAGGAAAAAGCGGTTTTCCAGTTTTTCTCTAAGAATGTAATACTAATGTAGGAAATATCTAGGAAAAATATGGGAAGCTGCTTAAGCCAGGAGTAGAGGGAGTACCGGGAATATGCTCAGTTAGAAACCTTCTGGGCTAGAACATCAGCGGATGTAAATCAGTGTAGTTCACCTGCCTTCAGTTAAATGTCAGTTTACACCGATGTTATATGAGTATTTGGAGCGATCTGGTGTGGAACGCTTCATGTTCCTAACGAGCCGGTAGCTCTTTGCTCTTGTTGTATGTTTCTGACTGTTCACATGCAGTATCATAAAGCTTCCAGAAATATATCTTTTTAGTTTTGTTTGGGATAATGGAACAAATAATCACTTTGTACTTCTCAAGGTATTTTAATAAGCATCTTGAACTATGGTAAGGCTTGAACTTAAATACAAAGCTTCATCATGCTTCACTGTTACCACTCTAAAGCTCTGTACCACATCAACCAGTGCTCTGTAGTCTCAAAGATAAGCTGAATATGAGAGTGTTTTGATTTTGGCAATTATTTTTTTTTTGCTGTAGTCTTTTTCTAATTTGCTCTTTCAGATGTCGTTGTCCTGTTTCATTTCATGGACCTGAATGCCAGCAGACTAAGCTCAGTTTCCATGGAAATGGATATGCATGGTTTCGTCCCATCCAGCCTTGTTTTGAGAGCTTACTATCCCTAGAGTTTATTACTGAGGTTCCAGATGGACTTTTATTGTACAGTGGTCCTTTATCGGATCCAGAGCCTGAGAATACAGAAAATTTCATTGCAATAGGTACTGATTCTCTGCAATTGTGTACAAAACTAAATACTTTTTAGGGAATTGAAGTAATGATTCTCTAAGAATTGATATTCCATGGACGATATAGTACCTATAGTGTGAATTTTTAACTTCAGTCTGAGTTAATAGAAAGCTTAACTCCCAAGTTTAGGCATAGATCTTGTCTCCTGGGTGCAAGACGTTAGAAAAATGAGAAGAAGTCTCTTGAAGGGTTCTCAGGCAGTATGTTTTTCTTTGACATTGTGGGTATTTTTATAGCCTGCACTTAATGGCTTCAAGCCCATTCACAGAGCTAAAGAAACCAGTGCAAACAAAACAGGCATATTTATAAAAAGAAATCCCACAAGGAAATAATGTAGTGGAATAACGGAGACAGGTATTACTTGTTTAAAATAGTCTTAGTTGCTTGTCATTCTTATGGGGTTTGAAAACAGAAATCCACCTATTAACATTCTTTCAGTTTTCAGGGCATTTTTGCAACATATTTTCTTTGACAGACTACGATTTAAGATGGATGAATTCAGTCCCAGTGCAGCATCATAACAGAACCTGCGCATACGTATAATTTACTGTTTTGAAGTTACATATAACTTTAATGTACTAAAACCTGCATGTGTCTATATAAATAATAATAGTGTTTAATTTAGAATATATATAGTGACAGTATCTTAGTAAGAAATACATTTTAGTGGTCACTTTGAATCTGATTAAAGGAAGAAAAATATTTTTGGCAGTATAATTTCTCTGCAAAATCCAGGTAGCAGATTCGATTTGAAAGTAATTAGCATAGAAATTGCATTTATAAATACAGAAGACCAGTAGGCAGTCCTCCCACATAATATGTGCCATAGAATTTAACCCCATAATTTTTGCACTTAGCCCACTAGCTTCTAGCTAACAATAACCATTGAACTAATAAATTCACGATATAGGTCTCATTATCTTTATCAACAGTGGGAAAATATTTGCAGCTGGATTTAAAAGACATAGTTTTATCCTTGTCTTTTTAGAACTTTCCATTGGTAACCCCATTTTAAAAATGAACCATGGTTCAGGCACAGTGATGTTGCAGTTCCCAAGTCACGTGAATGTGACAGACAAAAAGTGGCATCATCTTGAAGTCCGAACTAATGGCCAGGTCAGTTGCTTGTTTTCCACATTATGGCTTTCCAGCTTTCAGTTAGCATTTGCATATACTATAAACTTCACGTTTGTCTACCTTGTAAACTTTCACAAATTAGAGTCAGAGCACGATCATGGTAAGTCAGTGCACAAAGTGGATGGAATTGCATGCATAGTTCTTGCCTTTTGAAGGAGGGGGTAGACTCATAAAGTCACTGGGTTGCAAAGGGCTTTGAGTTATCTGATCCAACCCCCTACACAAAGGCCGAGTTTTCATTTGTAAATGTAGCATTTTTAGGAGTAGTTCTGTTTTGTTTGACCATTGGTAACATGGAACAGAAAATGTCCAAATCTTTATTCATGTGATGCCCTGTAGAGAGAGGAAAGCTAAAAATTCGGCCCAACATGTGAACACATTCAGTTGGAGTATACTGCGGCGCTTGGCTCTGCAGCATGGTAGTGACCTTCTGTTTTGGCACAGGATGTTCAATTCACATTGGATCACTGCAGCGCAGCGACTGTTTCGGAGATGGAAGGAGTTGGTAAACGGTTGTCGACTGAAGATCGCACAAATTGTGAGGTTGCTGGTTTGATTCCCCAAGGAGGAAGGTAAGGGTACATTTCTGGAGACTTAGTTACATTATTTTTAAATTAATGTCTTTGAATGTCTTATCTGGCAAGATGATGATTGAGAAAAAGTCTTTGCATTTCTGTAATGATGTTCATCCTGAGGACCTCAAAGTTCTGTATAAGCATAATCTGCCCCAGAGTGGTTTTGTGAGGGTAAGTGAGCTGCCTGAGGTCATGGAATAAGTTTATGGTAGATCCAGGAGTAGAACCAGACCCTCCTGAATCTCTGTACTGAGTTTTCACCACAGGAGGATTCTTTTCACTTGACAGACACTTGTCAATAAGCAAGCAATTAGTACTTACTCCTGCAAACTGTACTCACAGAATTAGTTCTGTTACTTTAATGAGAACAGGATGGGACACCCAATTATGTTTTATTTGTTCAGTTCTGTAAAACTTAGATACACAGTTATAAATAACAAACACTAGAAGCCAGATTCATCTCTGAGTTATCTGTGTAAATCTGGAGTAATTCCACTGTGTTCAGTAAGGTTACTTTAGGGATGTGAATCTAGAATAACTTCAAACAGTTTGTTCTGTAATCTGATTTCTAGATTGTAACATATGCCCCTTGCTTGTTCACACATGGTTTTAGCTCTCAGTAAAGTAGTTCACATGGCAAAGCTCTGGCTGACAATCCCACACTTAATTTCCAGGGTTAGGTTGATGCTATTGTCTTAGTGAATTTACACTAGCCAAGAATATGGTCCTTTTCTATATTCTTGTACAAAGTTTTCCATTCCTCAGATAATTCTTTGGAATCTGCTGTATTTGGTACTTACTTTCCCTATACCAAAGTGTTCATATGGTAAGGTAAATTCATCATAATGTTTATCATGCATCTTATTGTTTGAAGGTATTTGAGTGCAAACCAAGTTCTTCAGTTGGGAGGTGTCAAAGAATCAATTCCATACTCCTATCCCCAATTACAACACAAGCATTTCATAGGCTGTCTGCAAAATTTCATTTTGGATACTCGGGTAAGACAAGTGTTACAATTTTTGCATTAGTGAGGATGCATTTTGTGTGGGTTTTTAGTTTAAAGAATCTTATATGGGAACTGATTTTTGTCAAGATAGATTATGGTTCTGGTTAGTAATGGGACTGGTAGTACAGAATATCTGTTTCCAGTGAGTTGCTCCTGCATCTGTTTATATTGGGATTTTTTCAGTGGTGGTTGTATTTTTCACCAGAAATATTTGTGTATGGGATGTCATTGGACTAGAATAGCAAATAGAGAAAAAATAATACTGAGACTAAGTTCTTACCTCATGTCTATTACTGCTGTGTCTTCAGAAGTTTATCATTGATGCTTGAATAAGCTATAACCACCACAAATTGCTAAATAAGTAATAATTTTGCTTTGCAATACTATGAAAATGTACAAGGTATAAGTTATATTTGCTACTGTGTATAAAACAATGGCGTATACAACCTGAGGGTTTAATTGGCATCTCTGAACCTAGTTCTAGGGCAGCCATCTTGCTGAAATGTGGTATCTTTTGTATTTCTTTAACAATGCTGGAGCCCAGTGGAAATTGGTAGCAGCCAGTTTCCAGTATGCTTTAATATTGATTGAACAGTTAGAAAAACTTTAAAAAACCCACATTGTTGCTAAAGATAAGCACATGCAGCTTCCATTAAGGTAAATAAGCACTCTTTATTTTTGCTATTAAATGTCAGAATCATCTCTGTCTGCACAAGACAATAGTAACATGGATCAGGATGATTACTATCAAAAGTGTTCTTTACTTGGTAGTAGATATATTGTATATATTATATATACAATATAATATTATATATATTGTGAGGCAGAAATGATGCCATTGCTTATCTCCTTCTCCATGTACTTGGGATACTGCCCTCCAAGGTGACATTCCACAATTCCCCTTACTCCCACTTGAGGAATTTCTGAATGTTAATGATATATTTGTCCCTGCACCAGCTGCCAGCATTATATAGAATATTAGTTTTCCTTTACCTTCAGAGCGAGCATATCCAAATGCAGAATGTAATGATGAATATTTTTAAAAATAAAAGCTGTATTAAAATGTTAAAAGTTGCATCTAAAAAATCTGGCTTAAAACTAACAAAAAAACCCAACAAACAACCGAGAATGTGGACAGCAAACATGTATGCACTAATGTAAGTAATTTTTACACTTGTGTAAGCAAGGAGCAGACTGATGTAAATCCTTGCACCAGGATAACCTCACTTGATTTGGTATAGAGTTACACCAGCAAGAATCATGGGTAGAACTGCACTGATATACATTTATATTAGCCTAAGTGTTGTGTGCAAAGATGTAGCTTGGCTGTCCTCCATCTAGGGTGGCAGTGGCAGCCTGGCCAGTACTACAGGGGCTGCTTTTTCTACCCTCACCCTAAGTCTGGTCCCAGGGCTGGTGCCTGGTCAACCTCCCCTAGTTATACTACTGGTTGTTTGTCCATAACTGACCCTGGCATAGGCACTGCTTACTGCAAATAGACAATTTACCATCTTCCCTGGTACCTAGCAGTGGTACACAATAAGAGCAGCTTCCACTGGACAAGAGAAGCTGCTAATGTGAAGTGTGTCCAAGCTCAGTTAGGCTGTTTAGACGCGTGGTATAGGTATAAGTGTTACCACTTGGGCATAAAATCATAAAGTTTAACTTGATTAAATGAAATCCCAATATCCTGTGATTTTTCTCTTAAAGGTATATGACCTTGAATCTCCTGCAGAGTCCCTGAATAGCTCCCCTGGTTGCACATTAACAGATGGGAGCTGTGAGACCCTGGGCACCTCTTCCTGCGGTGTTCATGGGAGATGCCTTGGTGAATGGGGCTCATTTAGTTGTCATTGTTTGCCAGGTTATTATGGCTACCGATGTAATAAAGGTGAGGGATTTATTTCTGTTACATTCTTCATGGCTGTGATGAGAAGCGCTTTGCAATCCAATATGCTTTGAATGGATGAGCATTGACAAACAGTTGAAAGGGGGGTGGGAGTCACTATGATTCAGGTGAGTCCATTGTAAGTTTTTGTCTGTCTACTCTGTTATGCTGTAAGTGGAAAATGACACGGCAACTACCTGTTTCATTCAGGAAAAAAATATTGCAGTTTAGGTCCATTTAGTGCAAAATAGAAGCAGACAGATGCAGCAGTTAAAATAAATCAGCTGTTACAGGGACACAGGTAGTGAGTCTTCTTCCCTGCCCCACACTTAAAAGTAGCACAATTGTCAGTCAACATCCTATTTTCATAATTAATGATACTTCCTTAGCCGACTTCTTAGGGCAACGTTCTAATTTGCTGTTGGGCATTTTTGATAATCCCAGCCTTTGTTTTAATTTCTCTTTGAAATAAGGCTCACTGAGTACCAGATTTGCCTTATTCAGTGTCTTGGAAGGACTGAGTTTGATCGTTGTCCTGAAACAGGACCACAAGGAGGAGTTCAGTGAACTGTTGGAGTGAAATGAACACAAGTAAAAGGCATTTCCTTTATACTGCTGTAACTCGGGCAGTACTCGAAGAGGTACCCCCTCTCCAGTCGAAGGGATCGAAGCAGGTGCACAAGCGCTGTGGGAGCTGTAGGGGCTCTCCTCCCCCTATAGAGCAGAGCCAGACCACCAATGGGGACTTAACCATATACTTTTTAATACTGGGAACAGAACAGGCATAAATCAGAGGGTATAGTGGACACTACAATGCCCCAAGGGGGCAGGATTCAACAAAGGTTAGACACTTACAGTCATTGACAAAAAACAGGGTTAACA